AACTGTGGCCCACCATCCGTCCGCAGACTTACGGGGACGCCAGGTCACGAAAGAGGTGCCGGAAGTGGCGAATGGTGGCCGCAGACGTCGTGTCCGAGCCACAGATTACCACCACAGGCCAGCCAGAGAGTCGGTCGGCGACAACTAGGAAATGTTTCCCAACTGTGCTGAAGAAATCAGCCGACACGGACTCGAAGGGCCTGGTGGGTTCGTCGTCGCACAAGAGGGGCTCCTACTGTTGAAGCAGCCATAACTTGGGTGGAGGCTGGGCGGGAGTGGACGCAGGTTCTGGGCAGCTCTGTGCGGCAGCGCCAGGCGCATCGCTCGTTGACTCACGCACCCTGCTGGTGGTGTACCGAGCGGCTGGGATCTGCTCGGGAAAGTCTCTGGGCACCACGCCTAACTCCTTGCAGTGCTCCCATGACAACAAGGGTGTAGCGAGAGTAGGCTGCATGTCCATCCATCCGTGACACGACCTGTCGCCGTAGGTGATCTCCGCTTGAAAGGAGCCCACAGCGTCCGGCGTCTGGGAACCGTCCGCATTGTAGTGCAGCAGCTGCGGCGGTGGTCCCAGGTCGCGTTTGGTGAGGCCCAGTTTTTGGAGGTGCTTCAGACCTATCACCATAGTATCAGCGCCGGTGTCCGGTATCACCTCGATGTGACCCGACACATCACCGTGTGTGACGGCGATGCAGATGTTAGGGGAAGGGGTAGCCCTGGGGCGTGTGGTCGATTCCACCCTCCTGATGTGACTCAGCTGCTGCTTGGGGCTGCGTGGGCCATCTGAAGGGGGCTGCGTGCGAACCACCCCGAGGGAAGTGCGCTGCTTTCCTCCTCGTCTCGGGCTTTTGGGCTTGGGTTGGCGGCAGCACTTGTCGTGGTGTCCATAACGACCGCAGGCCTGACACTTGTGGCCTCGTGCAGGGCACCTGTCTGTGTTAGACCAGTGGCCCTTACGGTCACATCCACCACACAGTGCATCGGCGGCCGGGCATGTCTTGGGGCCATGCTGCTTTCCACAGCTGCTACAGGAAGCACTAGGCGGAGGCGTGGAAGAACGTGCGGCAGCCTTCACGTTGTTGGCCGCCTTCTTACCCTTCTTGTACTGTCAGATAGCTCTCACAGCATGTGGGGCCCGTAAGGCAGAGGTAGCGGACTTGGTGGCCTCGTATGACCGACATTCAGTCACTACCACCTGGAGTGTGGAGGAAGCATCCAGGGGGATGAGTCGCTGCACCAACTTGCCTGACACCTGTCAAGATCCCATGCTTGATCCAGGCTTCCTCACATTTCCGGCTGTGCGCCTTGCAGACGTCGATCTCCTCCGAAAAACTCTTCAAACGTACAAAAAAGTCGTCAAAGGATTCATTCTCCCCCTGCTTGCAGCTGGTGAAGGCGCGGCGATGCAAAGCCTCGTTATTCCGACCTTTAACATGCTCCTGTAAAAGGTCGAGCACATCCGTCATTGAAGTCGTAGAATCGGGAGGCACTTGCAACGTGTGCTCCAAAACTCTCTGGGTCTCCAGCGACAAACACATCCGCAGTTGGATGAGCTGTTTGTTTGGAGGCATGCTATCAAGGTCCACCATCGTGGAGTAATCTGTCCACCGCCGCCTCCACTCACGAAAAAGCTGAAACGTGACGTCTGGTGAGAGGGCGGGTGGGGGTTGAACAGATGCCTTGGGAGGTGTTGGAGTAGCAAGAGTACCTGGAGGACGCTGGTGTGGTGGAGGAGGGAGGGTACTGGCGCCTTGGTGCGCGATACCTGTGATACCTGTGAGTGAGGGAGGGTGGGTTAGCGCCAGGGTCTCCAATACTGCATCAAAACGCGCTTTTTCCTCCTCTCTTCGTATGTCCTCCCTCTGAAATTCCATCTCTCTGCGTCTCTCGTCCCTGTCGTCCATCCACCTCAGAATTGTGGCAATGTCCGTCGCTGTAGGTGAAGGATGAGGGGCGGTGGGCGCAGAAGCTCCATCTGTGCCCGGTAGAGGAGAAGGTGGGGAGTCGTGTCTCCCATCTTGACGTTGTCCCGTCTTACCGCCCATCATAGTATGCTTGAACTGCGCTGTTTAGTATATAAAGTGGTGCCTCATCAGCTCGAAGCACATATATATGACATAAACAGCGCAGAAATAACGCATAGAGTCCACTGTTCTGTCCGTGAGTGCGTGCGTGCGTGCGTGTGTGTGTGTGTGTGTGTGTGTGTGTGTGTGCATGTGTGTCTGAGACAGCAGATGCGGGTGGCTAGAGCCACAGAGGTGAGAACGTTAGTGTCTCCCCGGATGTCACACGAGGAGGGTGCACTCCTGCGTGCTCCGTGGGTACGACAAAAAACATGCCAATGCTCAACTCTCAGCTCTAGACACACTAATACATTGACACTAACAATGCCACCGTCACTGAGACGCACTGTGACGGCGCAACACTGCACGTCGCGGCGAAACACAACGCAACACAACACAACACACTAGTCGACGTGCACATTGCCGGCAGTCGTAACGGTCTCGGCATTGTTCACAACACTTGTAAGTCCGCAGATCCTACTCACTGCGCCATGAAGGTTCCAAGTGTTCCCTGAAGAAGGCAGTGATGGGTAGGGAAACACTGGGTAACACTGAAGTCCATTTATTAACGGATATGAGAAATACAAGTGGTGACTAGCATGTGACTTGCATGACCCACAGAGTCAGACTGAGACTGCCTTGCCATATGGCAGCCTCGGGGCAATGTTGCCACATAACACGTGCAGTGTTGCCACGTAATTATATACATAGATGCTACTCGGCACAGTAGCTTATATACAAGGTTGCTACTCGGCACAGTAGCTTAGATACATAACCTACACCTTCCACTCCTCAGAATACAACATATCATGTATGTAAACGCCTTTTGAGCTTTTAAAGGATAATCAGACTCTTCATGTTAAAGTCGAACATTATAATTCAGTCAAACCTGTTGAATACAATTCATTTTAGTATTTCAAATAAATCATACATAGGCAATCATACATAAATGTTTAATCCAATATGTATTTACATGACAATCATACCTGTGTCATTAGTCTAATCTTAACACTTATAATGTGTACTTAATTTACCATATTTCTATGTTGTCACAATGATAACCCATGCAATGGACACAGTCTTCCTGTGTAAACTTAAGTACAGGCTAAACTTACGTGTTGAAAGTCTCAAGAGAAACAGGTTTGGTGTTGACTCTATGATAGTAGATCGGATAATGGAAAAATCGTGAAATAGTGATACAAGCATGATATTTGGCATGATCATACCCTAGGGGATACTTGTCAAATCTGCCTGATTGGCCATTTAGAAATCCAAGATGGCGGCCATTTTTCAAGATGGCTGCCATTTTCTCCTATATGTCATGGAAGCCATACATCCACAACATTGTTAAAGCTGCCTCCCAAAAGCTGGGAATGCTGTCCAGATGCCGTAGCTACTTCATTCCTGAGCAGCTGCCTCAAGTTTTTAAGCGATTCATCCGTCCTAACTTGGATTACTACTCTCATATCTGGGGTCGTTCTTCTTCTATCTTATTAACTCTTCTCCTTCAGTTGATAATCTCTCTTCCCTTTCTCTTCGCCGCAATGTTGCTTAACTCTCTCTCTTTGACAGGTACTTTAACGGGCAATGTTCGGTGGATTTGGCATCCTGTGTACCGCCCTCCGGCAAGGCCGTGGGCTCGGAACACTCGTCTTGCCCGTGGTGTACACAGTTTCTCTGTGGTTGTCGGTCACACTAGAATAACCGGTTACAGTACATCCTTCTTTCCTCACACAGCCAAACTGTAGAATGTTGTACCTTCTTCTGTGTTTCCATACTCATACAATCTGTCTCACTTTAATAAGTTGGTTTTCCGGCATCTTCGTGGTGTAGGTTAATATAATCTTTTTCTTTTCTATTTTAAATTTCTGTTTACTCTTATTTTTTCCCTCCCCGTTGTGGGTCGATGACTTGTGTCCAGGTGGGCTATTCCCGTAAAAGAGAGAGAGAAAGAGAGAGATAGAAGCGCATCAGACCTGTCATGATTAATTATCAGTCTTTGCTTGATCTTAAGTAGAATACAAAAGTCGCATATTCAAAGACGTGTGCAAGCTGTACACATGGCATGGTGCCGGTGCACATACACGTACGGCCTTTCCAGACGTGGGGGTAAATTGAAACCAAAATGTTTCCAATTAAGGCTTTGGTCAGAGGTGCTGCTGGCTTCTGAAGGAGCGCCCCCTAGGAGTCCCACAAGATAGTTTGTAAGTAATTGTACTACCCATTCAGTTAGAACAGTGGAGAAAATTTCTTGTCAGTACTAATTTGTGAAAGGCTCAATTCACATGTGTTTTAAGCTTTTTCCATACCCCGGCCATGTGCCTGGGGCATTGGGCGTTTGTCCTATTCGTTTATCTTATCCTACATGGGCTAGTCATTTTGAAAACCAGCTTCTCCCACAGTTTTAAGCAAAATATTTTACAACTTGTCACAAAAATTTATGAGTGATAGAAGAGGTGCATATTGCAATATGGGTATGTGTTTGGTGATTTTGCTGAACTATTAGTCTATGGAACTTGCGGGGAAATGCATGTTTTATACAAGTATTTATTTCAAGAAGAGTTACCTTAAGAAACAGGATGGTACAGTATATTGATCATATAATAGGAAATATCCTCAGTCCCTTTACGGAATCTTCAAAAATTTAACTGTAAGCTTTCACGTTGTATACATAATATTTTAACAAGTTAAATATGAGCAATAGATACGTTCATTTTGCCAAATTACTTGGTCACGAATGTGTCCAAAGTTCAGTTTCCTAGCTCAAAAAGTGCATAAGATATTGCCCGGACAAAGATCAAACAACCATACGAAGCATCAACTAAGTTACTTCTAATTAGAATTCATCCTCTGGACACACTTAGAAACGGGATGAGAGTGGGGAAGGGTATTTGTAGTGGTGGAGAAGGATCAACTAAGGTAGTGTCTCGTTCACAGTTTGAAGACCACTTGGTGATAACAGGGCAGGAGCCCGACTATGAGGTCAGTGGCACTATGGTCGACGTCTGCAACATCATTGCTCAACACCTCGGATTCTGGTGAGTACCTCTTGCTGGTGTTGTCTCAGAGTCTCACTGTGGGTCATTGTCTCAAACTACAATAAGTGTACCTTGTGTATCTCACGATATATATCTATTTAAATTAGAAATGAGTCATCCAGATACAAACTTCCACCACGTTGTCTAAAACGCCTAAATATTACTTTCTTAATATATAAGAGAATAGAAGGCATGGAAGGGCGACCTTAGGAGAGTTTCTCTTTTAGCGGTATTTATTGTTCAAACTCTTGCAGTTGGTTTCATCACTCCGTATTCATGTTGTTTACTAGATTATCTCACAAAATGAAAAAAATTCATTAAAAATTTGTATAATTAATAGATAATTATCGGAGGTAGTGCGACTGAACTGTGGATAACATAAACGTGGGAATAATGGATTAAAACAGAAGAGCAGTGTGGGTGATGTACAGTACACCCACCCAAAAAAGTCCTGTCTCATGAGCCTGTGAATCTGAGACATCACACAGTATGCCTTCTATAGACCCAACAATGTGTGATGTTTCATATTCACAGGTTCATGAGTCTGAAGGTTGAGGAATGGGAGAGAGGACTGACAAGACTTTTTGTGGTGGTGGTTGTTGTACAGTCAATAAAAAAAAGTATCGACCGCCCTGCCGTGAGTAACAACATGAAGCGTCGTGTGAAAACTGTGAACGTATACCTGTGGTTACTGGTGTCTGTTGGTTGTTATCGTTAATTATGCATTCCATCGACCTTGAGCTGGTTGATACTTACATTACTGACTGTACGGCGGGACGTCATTTACATAAGCAGCCAAGGTAAAATATTCTGGACGAGACAATACCCAAGAAATTTGGTGGCAGTAAAGTTATGTATTAATTGTGTTGTTTGGTTATAGTTACATGTTTGTGGTGGCACCAGATCGGAAGTACGGTGAACGGCTACCCAACGGGTCCTGGACTGGCATTATGGGCCAACTGCAGAGATCCGTATGTTGGATGATATTGTTGACTCATCTGGAATACAGTTTTTCTTATAAACCTTTGTACTCTGACTCTCAGGTAATCAATTTATTTAGTATATATAAAACAATCAAAATGTTTGATCATTGAACTATCTTTTGGTGTTCCAATCCATAACTATGTTAACTGCCGTGTATTTAACAAATATGTCCAAGTGAATTTGCAAGATGATACCTGTAATTCAGACGTATGATCACTCGTCGTGCCACGCCCTTACTTTAGCCAAGAAACTTGTTTCTATCTACAACACGGCAGATTGTGGCTTGTAACTTTTTTCCCCAGGAGACGGATATGACTGCTGTGTTAATGTCAATAAGTCACCCGAGGATACCGGTTGCCGACTTCAGTGAGCCGCTCTTCCTGGACAATTCCAATATCATCAACGCTCGCCCCATGCTTACCTCTGACCTGGCTGGCTTCGTCAAGCCTTATTCTTATGGGGTTAGTATGAATGAATTTATTTATATCTGATAATATGTTTGTTAGTCAGAGTACAATGAATGTGATGCATCTTGCGGCATGAGTTACCGAATAACATATGATGTCTGTTGTCAGTTATAAAATTTTTTCTCATCCGGACACTTTTGTGAGAAGTAAATGTGAAGAGATAAAGTCTAGTGAATGTTAACCCTTGCGTACGGTTCATTGACCCACAAGTTATGGTGGAAGAAGTTCAACCTGTTTTCGAATCAAAATAATAATGGATCTCCTTGTGACGTTTCAAAATTTTCTCTGCAAAGATTACGGCATTATTCACTAAATAAATAAATAAACAGACAAATATACAGTTATCACATTAAGGTTGAATTTGTTTACTATTTTATGCAGAATGTTTTGACAAGATACGGAACAGATTATTGTTAGCAGATAACTGGTATAGGAAACAACCCAATATTCAACATATCATATTTGTCCACTTCTGCATCTGTCACAATCATGCAGTATGTTTGAAGGCTTCAAAATCAAAACGAATCCATGACTCGTAAATCGCTCGTCGGACTCTCCTGTCGAATTCAAATGATGAGTCCGATTGCCTCTTACCCTTTTTTACGACTGATTTCGGCAATTGTTCAGTTTATGGACGAGTGTTCTGAAATTAAGTACAGTTTGTGGAATAGGTTAATTTTGTCAAGTTATTCTGCATTTGTCACAACTAACTTTAATATTTTAGCACATTATAAATTGCTTCTCTACATAACATTATATTCAGCACAATAAAGTGTAAAGTATACACAGCTGCTTTGTTGTTAACATATCAGCTGATTTTAGCGGCCTTTGTTGGGATTCCACGTGGCATGGCTTTGTTTAAAATGCTAATGGGTTTTGCTGCAGTTTGTTCCAGAATATGTTGGAAAAACTACAGTATTCCCAATGGAAAGTTTAACGTGCTAAGCTGAGGTTATCTTCAGATAGTTTTAGACACTCAGAAAAATCCTTGAATTAAAATGTATAACCCCGAACAATCTAATATGGTAACTGGCTTATCGAGCCTCTCTCTTTCCCCTCCCAGACTTGACTTAAAATTTTGAATTTGTTCTTCCCATATAGTTTAATAAGATGAAGTATGAATTATGCCATCAACAGCTAGTGTTGTCATATCATAAACAATACACAGTATATAATTCAGATATCTTCACATCTACCTGTACTGATGGCGAAATCCACTCGGTGTGAGATTTTTAATTATTTAGAAATCAGACAACAAAGTTTTATAAACACAGAAAAATCAATTAGTGATGTATATACTTGATTTTCTCTGTTTATATAACTTTATATTCTGCTTTAGAACTAATTAAAATTCTAATATATTTGCGAATTATCCGAATACAAAGATATAAACCCAATTAAGTTAGTAAATTTTTCTAACTTTGTTGTTATTGGAGCGGGATCTGACAGTCTTGAGTAAATGCTGCTATATCTTCTCAGATCTCTTTATATTACGTATCATAAGCATAGTACCAAATAATGTTACGAGTTGGAAAGCGATTAGGAATACTGAAACCCTAGTCTCTCAACATTCCCCCCAAAATCGCCGCCAGAATGTGTACATTTGTCAGAACACGGACTACTTCGACCATGAAAAAGAGTAATGTTTAGATGTATTCTACATTTCAATAATGTACAGTTGAAAACAAATTTCCCTGAACACTTGGTAATATCAGGCATCTATTTCTGGGTTTTATATATGATTTGTTTATATTTAAAAACGGTGCTCTTCATCACATATCTTTTCGAAACCACAAAATGAAAAGAAAAAAACCCTTATATAAAACGACTCTTGAAAAATCTGTTAAAATTCCAACCCCCTTCACCTAATAATCAGCAAGAACTTACATGCCAAATACTGCCAGGTGTCCAGGGAATTTTGTCCGCAACTGTACAAATAATAATTGCGCATTATATTTTTCGGTTTGACGAACTATTGATTTTGATAATAAATGCTGTATTTTTATATATTGATTAAAAAAAGAAGCAAACATATATTTCCTTGGAAATAAAATAAGAATATACTGAAAATTAAAATTTTTTATTAATGATTTAATATAGGAACACACTTCAAAGACAATGTTAATTTGAATAAGTTAGGTTAGGTTAGGTTAGGTTAGGTGATTTCGTGGTGATGTAGGGGGAGGACCCGTGACAATACTCTGTTGTTCTCGTGGTGATATTGGATGGATATATGTGCGATTGGGGTTGGATGTAGACGGGATTACACTGTATGGGCCAATTGGCCAGCTGCAGTTTCCTCTATTCTTATATTCTTATGTGGGGGGAGGCGGGTGATAGTCCTCTGGTGTTCTCGTGGGATATAAGGGTGAGGACGCGTGACAGTCTCTAGTGTTCTCGTGGTGATGCAGTAGGGGGGAGAGGAGGACCCGTGACAGTCTCTGGTGTTCTCTTGGTGATGTAGGGGTGAGGACCTTTGACAGTCTCTGGTGTTCTCGTGGTGATGAAGGGGTGAGGACCCGTGACAGTCAACTGATGTTCTCGTGTTTATGTACAAGGAGGGGGAGGAGGACCTGTGACAGTCTCTGGTGTTCTCGTGGGGATGAAGAGGTGAGGACGTGTGACAGTCTCTGGTGTTCTCGTGGGGATTAAGGGGCGAGGACCCATGACAGTCTCTGGTGTTCTCGTGGTGATGTACAAGGAGGGGGGAGGAGGACCCGTGACAGTCTTTGGTGTTCTCGTGGGGATGAACAAGGATGGGGAGGAGTACCCGTGACAGTCTCTGGTGTTCTCTCGTGATGGGATGTGGGTGAGGACGCGTGACAGTCTCTGGTGTTCTCGTGGTGGATGAAGGGGTGAGGACCCGTGACAGTCTCTGGTGTTCTCGTGGTGATGTACAAGGAGGGGGGAGGAGGACCCGTGACAGTCTTTGTTCTTGGATGTGTGAGGACCCGTGACAGTCTCTGGTGTTCCGTGGGGATGTAAGGAGGGGGGAGGCGACCCAGTCTCTGGTGTTCTCGTGGTGCTGAAGGGGTAGGACCCGTGACAGTCTCTGGTGCGTGGAGCAAGGAGGAGGGAGGAGACCCGTGACAGTCTCTGTGTTCTCGTGGTGATATAAGAAGAGGCAGGAGGACCCATGGCAGTTTTGTTGTTCTCGTGGGGATGTAGAGGTGAGGACCCGTGACAGTCTCTGTGTTCTCGTGGGATGAAGAGGGAGGACCCAGACACATTGTTTCTTGGTGATATCAAGGAGGAGGAGGAGTACCCGTTACAGTCTCTGGTGTTCTCGTGGTGCTGAAGGGGTGAGGACCTGACAGTCTCTGGTGTTCTCGTGGTGATGCAAGGAGGAGGAGGAGGACCGTGACAGTCTCTGGTGTTCTCGTGGTGATATACAAGAGGGGCAGGAGGACCCATAGTCTTTGTTGTTCTCGTGGGATGTAGAGGTGAGGACCCGTGACAGTCTCTGGTGTTCTCGGGATGAAGAGGGAGGACCCGTGAAGTCAATATTGTTTCTCGTGGTGATATACAGAGGAGGGAGGAGTACCCGTTACAGTCTCTGTGTTCTCGGGGATGAAGGGTGAGGACCCGTGACAGTCTCTGGTGCTCTGGTGTTTAGGGGTGAGGACCCTTGACAGTTCTTGGTGTCATGGTGATATACAAGGAGGGGGGGGAGGACCCGTGCTCAGTGCTCTGTGGGATGAAGGGGTGAGGACCCGTGACTGTCTCTGGAGTTCTCGGGATGTAGGGAGGACCCACAGTCTCTGGTGTTCTCGGATGAAGGGGAGGACCCTGATAGTCCACTGTGTTATCGTGGAGATGTACAAGGAGGGGAGAGGATCCGTGACAGTCTCTGTGTTCTCATGGGGATGTAGGGGTAAGGAACCTAGACAGTCTCTGGTGTTCTTGTGTGGATGAAGGGTGAGGACCTGACAGTCTCTGGTGATCTGTGGGATGAAAGGGTGAGGACCCGTGACAGTTTCTGGAGCCTGGGAATGCACAGGAATGGGAAGAGGACCCGTGACAGTCTTTTGGTTCTCATGGCGATGAAGAGGAGGACCTGACAGTCCACTGGTGTTATAGTGATGATGTACAAGGAGGGGGAGAGGACCCGTAGCCCCTGGGATGAAGGGGTGAGGAACCATGACAGTCTCTGGTGTTTTGGGATGAAGGGTGAGGAACCGTGACAGTCTCTGGTGTTCTCCTGGTGATGTACAGGAAGGGGAGGAGGATGTCAGGAAGTCTCTGGTGTTCTCGTGGTGTTGAAGGGTAAGGACGTGTGACAGTTTCTGTGTTCTCGTGGTGCTGAAGGTGAGGACCCACGTCAGTCTCTCGTGTTCTCGAGGTGATGTACAAGGAGGGGAAGGAGGACCGTGACAGTCTCTGTGTTCTCGTGATGTACAATGAGGGGAGACGAGACCCTGACAGTCTCTGTGTTCTCGTCGTAATGTACAAAGAGGGGGAAGGCGACACGTGACAGTCTTTGGTGTTCTCTGCATGGTTGTAGGGTGAGGACCCGTGACAGTCTCCGTGTATGCTGTGGTGATGAACAAGGAGGGGAGGAGGACCCGTGACAGTCTCTGGTGTTCTCGTGGTGATGTACAAGGATTGGGAGGAGGACCCGGGACAGTCTTTATCTCATGGGGATGACCAAGGATGGGGAGGAGGACCCGTGACAGTCTCTGGTGTTCTCGTGGGAAGGGAAGAGACCATGACAGTATCTGGTGTTCTCGTGAGTGATGTACATGAGGGAGGAGGACCCGTGACAGTCTCTGGTGTTGTGGTGATGTACAAGGAGGGGAGAAGTACCCATGACAGTCTCTTGTGTTCTCGTGGTGATGTACGAGGAGGAGGAGGACACGTGACAGTCTCTTGTGTTCTCGTGGTGATGAGGGGGTCAAGACCCTGACAGTCTCCTGTGTTCTCGTGGGATGAAAGGTGAGGACCCCTGACAGTCTCTGGTGTTCAGGGTGGGGATGAAGGGGTGAGGACTCGTG